CACTATTCACATGAGATATGAGGAGAGGAATTTGTATAGAGTTTTGGTGTGGGAAGTGAAGAATATGACTAAGTATTTATTTTTTTAAAATCTGAAATTTTTTGTATTCTTTTAGATTTTTTTATTTTAAAATTTTCATTGTTGATGTCATTGCAGACGTCAGCAAACCCAGGCAAAAGCCTAAGCTATTCTTGCATTTGGGCCAGCCTAGGCTTGTGGAGCCCACCAACTGCCCTGGCAGCATTTGCTCGCTGGAAACACTTTTTGGGCCTAGGCCCCCCCTTGCTCGAGCAAGGGGTTGCCCGCTGGAATTGCTCTAATACATCCAATTCAGTCCAGTATAGCCTATCAAATGGGCCCTAAAAGGACTTATCAAATACAAATCGCTAGATGGGTGGGATTGTTAATGGGATATCCAGAGAACAGTTTCTTTCTGCGTCAATTTAGAAAAGAGGAAAAGAAAAGCAAGAAAGAAAAGAAAATAGTAAAACAGATGAACAAAGGGCAGGAAAGTGAGAACTATTTGATATCAACTGTGTGCCAAATTGTCTTGTCTTGTGTTGTGAGCATTTCATTTCATTCATTCAATGACTCTGTTATGTTATGGCTTTTGTTATGTAATATATGATTCCTAGCTGGCTACTTGTTGTCAAATCACAATTGCGAGTTTAAGGGCCGCCAAAGCCGATGTTTACGGGTACACCAGAAATTCAATGTTTGCCACTTTCATTTTTCATCTGTGAGTCTTGTGTCCGGCAAACAACCAACTCATATTATATATGTATAATTGTTCCCTCCATATCTTTGATACCAATTGCCAAGTATCTTCTAATTGGCTAGCTTAGGATCATGAATTTCAACTCAAATGTTGTGACACCATCCACGCACTCTCCCACTATAATTGCCCTATCTATATATCACAAGATCTTTGTGGCCATGATGGTGCCATTCTCCTCCCCTTTGCGGTGACAGTGGTTTTATGTTGTATTTTGTTCTGAATTTGTGATGGAGAAGATTATTATACTAGATTATACTGGTTCTAGTCTAATTTTCTCTTTGTTTGTGGTGTTTTGTTTGTTCCTGGCCTTTTCGACCCTTGTTTTCTTTGTTTGTTTGCTTCCCATTTTTTGGGGTTTAAATGAACTTAAATTAATTACGACCAAAAAAAAAATCATCTAAGTTCTAACCCGTTTGTTGAACTCACAATATTTTGATGGATCAAGACAACGTCCGTTCTCTACTTATGTTTCTTTTAGTGCTTATATTTTTTATTTATTAAAATGATGTCGTTGCACATCTAATCAAAAATGAGCATCTTATATTCGCGTTGCAATTAAGTGATAATGACTGCCGCTACGATACCATGAAAGAATGCCGCTACGATACCATGAAAGAATGCGAAGTTTCATTCCAAAATTAATTGACAATTGAGAAATAGCCCAACTCCCAATAAACTCTTTAACATCCTTACAACTTTGACTAATTTTTTACAGGAATATTATACGCTAACGTCAGAAAGGATACTCATGTTTTTTTTAAAACAAAGGACATCTATCTCCTTCCCAGTGAGTATCTTTGGTTAGAAAAAAAAAAAAGGGACTAACGATATTTTACTCCATCGAGGTTTATGTGCCGTATTGAAATGGGTTCTGAAATTTCAATTTCATCAATTTGATACCCAACGTTTTTAAATTTAACCAGATTTCGCCATCCATCAACTTCACTGTAAAATTTCCTATTAAATTGAAGATGTGGCAAGTGTGGTACCCACTTTGATGTTGATGTGTGAAAAAAAAAATTTAAAAATCTTTAAAAATTAAAAATTCCCACTCTCTCTTTCTCTCTCCCCCTCTGCCTTCCTCTCCCATCGCCGACCCATCCCCATCATTCGTACAGCAGCCCCCCAGACTTGCCCCAAAGCAAACCCACTCCGGCAACCCAGATCTCGCCGGCGCCGTCACATCAACAGTTTCTCAAACCACCACCCGAAACCTTAGGGTGGGTGCATATACAAATATTAAATGATTAGAATTTTCGTGTAGGAATTCAAATCGCCCGTTTGACACAAGGTCTGAATTTTGAATGCATTAGGTACATGGTTTAATGCCCGTTTAACATCTGCTACATGCTTTCCCTAAATGGAATCCGCGCTAACAATAAAAGAATAAAAAGTAATTAACAACATTTAGACCTTGATTCAATTGGTTAAATAGAAAATACTGTTTTAAGCATAAAGCAAAGCTGTGACACCCTACCAATATGTGGCACTATCTATTAATTTCCAAAACCCATCATGCAAACCACACCAAGTTCATCCCTTCCTTCCTCTAACACAACATGTATGACATTTTTAATTAAATAATTTCTGCTACAATAATTTATTCATAAGAATATGTCTGCCATAGTTACTTGCAAATTAAGGTGAGTGAGTTATCTTCCTTCCTTCTAGCAGGTAAGCAGTTTGTAGCTCAAATAGTTAATATCATTTATCCGGGTCTTATATTCGATTCTTCATTTCTTCAATATCACTTTGTATATAAAAAATTCTTCATTTGAGTAGTATTAAACTATACACAAGAGTCAGAGGAAGTCAATGAAGCTCTTTCTTTAACAACAATTCTCTGCCACGTTTTAGGTGACTTTTGGGTGGTCGGGTCCTTACTGGCTAAAAGTGCAGTAGAGAGCCCAGCCTTTGGAATACAGTTGGTGCTCATTTTAGGGACATGAGACATCACTGCCTTTGACGAGCATAAAAGATGGATAGATGGATGGATACAGCTAAAGGCCGATCACTTTCCTCCTGCACCATATCTTATATATATATACCTAATTATCTTAATTAGTGCCTTAGTGCTTCTGCAATTTGAAAAGGGTCTCATATATTTTTTACGGGTCTTATTTTATCCATATTGTCAAATGTTACACACATATATATATATATAGGCAAATGGTTAATGGCTTCTCTGCTACCACAGATCCATATCTAGTCTAGATATCAGATAAGCATGACCATAAAGTTTGCAGGATGATTCTAATAACTTTGACTATGCCTGTCAATTTGTCTAGATGAGATGAATCAGAAGACCACACAGAGGGAGGACACAGCCTTTTTCTTGATACCGAAAGTGTTTGACATGTCGGGGGTGGTGATCTCCGTCAAGTATCTTGCCAATCATATCTAGATAAGCCTTGGCACATGTCTGATTCTTTGAAAACATATTTGTTAAAAATTGTTGTTAAAAAAATCATCATGATGAATATATATTGAAATTATAACTAAGAAATGTAACTATTTCCCATAAGCATAAAAATAGAATATTGTTAGAGACTAAATTAATTTATCAAAGAAAAAAAAAGAGACACCGAATTTGATTCAGCAAAAAGACGCGACAGTGTTTGATTGATTAAAAAATTAACTAGCAACAAGAAAAAAGAAGAAAAGGAAAGTAGAGGGAGTATAGTATTGTTGAACCATGATGAATGAAGGGAGTAGAGAGAGAACATAATAGCAGTAATGGACGTAATGGTCCACTGTGTATGACTAGGTAGGGGGCAGCCCACTAGAGAGAGAAGAATGACCATGACCAATTGATCATGATTCACGAGTGACTACTGTTGCCGAAAACTACGGCCCATGGTACCCGGAGCCACAAATCTGATCTCATCTTATATTTATATGGTGGTGGTGGTGGCCGTGGCCGTGACGGTAGATGGTTTATCAGGAGGAAGAGTAGCCTTGGATTATATAAAATTAATTTATGTATACATATATACCAAGTGAAAGTGATTAGATGATATGATTGTGGGGGCTGACTTAGTTTTGAGCAAAATGGGGCATGCCACTACTGCCGAGTCAACTTCACGAGGACTCCAAATTCGAATTACTCTACCCAAAAGATCGGCCCCGAGGAAATGTAGGTTGATGGACACTATAAATATGAGGAGAGGCCAACCCACTTGTTAGAGCTCGTCTCAAAATCACAAAACAAGTTTTAAGCAAGCGAGGGCCTCTGATTTCACAAAAACATATACCTAGCTAGCTAGTTCTATTAAGTCAGCAAAAATATACATACATATAACACAAAGAGAGGAAGAGAGAGTGTATAGTCAGTCTATAGAGAAGAGATACAGAAAGTTGACGAGAAACAAAAATGAAATTGAGAGGAGATTCCATGTCTGAGGCTGAGGCTGTGGTGGAGGATATGTCTGTTGATTGGAGAGGCAGACCCTGCAAGCCTACCAAGCACGGTGGAATGAGGGCCGCTGTTTTTGTCCTTGGTCTCTCTCTTCTCTCTCTTCTCTCTCATGTTTGTTTATTTCATATTTTGCACCATATTCATATGATCTTGAATGCATATCTTATTTTGCTCACCTCTTCGCATTCAGTATGTATGTACTACTATTTGTTACTATATCAACTGTGAATATGGTAATACATGAACTTTATATGATGGATGCAATCAACAGTGAGTTCCCTAAACCACATGCATTCTTGCTGGTTTATAACAGAAAGAGAGATGATAAAATAACACATGTTCTATCTTGTTGGTGGATGATATATTTATATTTATATATGTTATATATTTATGCAGGTCTCCAAGGTTTTGAGATGATGGCAATAGCCGCTGTTGGGAACAATCTGATTACCTATGTATTAAATGAGATGCACTTTTCACTGTCAAAGTCTGCAAACATTGTCACAAACTTTATAGGGACAGTCTTCCTCCTCTCCCTCTTTGGTGGGTACCTCTCAGATTCCTATCTTGGGAGCTTCTGGACCATGATCATCTTTGGCTTTGTGGAGTTGTCTGTAAGTCGATTTTTTTCTTTTTTGCTTTTACTGCGCGCAATCTTTGATCATGATGATTTCAAGCACTATCTTGCAATTTGCATATTCAAGATTCTCTGTCTCTCTCCTGAAATCTAGGTTTATCTTATTAAATTCTGAAAACTAATCTTACTGTAACACTAAATCAATAAAGCTTCAAAAGTGGCTGATTCTTATCATTTCATTTGCCATACACAACAACAGAGATGTATGTTTTACATGATGGTTTCTAGCAACACAACAACCCATTGTTTTGCAGCCCAAAGAGGAAAAGGCATATTCTGTGTGAAATAATAGTATGATTATGTGAATTAGATTTCTTTTTTCTTTTCTTTTTTTCTATTTCCCTTGCATGAACCATAATAATTTTTGGTGTAAAATTGCTTGCAGGGTTTTATATTACTCTGTGTTCAAGCCCATCTCCCAGAATTAAGGCCACCCCCTTGCAAGATTATGTCCCATGAGTACTGTCCTGAGGCAAAGGGGTACAAGGCTCTGATATTCTTTGCTGCAATATATCTGGTGGCCTTAGGAAGTGGTTGTCTAAAACCAAACATAATCTCTCATGGGGCTGACCAATTCAGGAGGGATGATTCCAAGCAATCCAAGAAGTTATCGTCTTACTTCAATTGCGCCTACTTCGCCTTCTGCATCGGAGAACTTATTGCATTGACTGTTCTTGTTTGGGTCCAAACACACTCTGGAATGGATGTTGGCTTTGGAGTGTCTGCAGCTGCCATGGCAATGGGATTAATTTGCTTGACTTTCGGTACACCTCTCTACAGGAACAAGCCCCCTCGCGGAAGTATTTTCACTCCAATTGCTCAGGTAAGCTTTCACTTGCCTTTCTCCTTTAATCTCTTTCTCTACAGAGTTTTATTATAAATGCCTTTTTCTACTTTTAGCCTTTGGAAATTGAGGAGCCTTTAGGCTATATGCAAGCTTTTGTGTCAGTTATAAGCTAATTCAACTCCAGTAAAGGAAGTTCTTTTTCTCGTTTGGTGTATGAGTGTGTTGGTGTGTGTTTCTGTAATGTTTTAGAGACTTTCTTGTAGCTCAATTTGCTGTTATATATTTTAATTATTCCTGGCACCCCACCCCCTATGAAAATACCCCGACCGACCATACTTAAAATAATTATCAAAGTGCGCATGATCAATGTCTCTTTCTGATCCTTCAATTAATTTATTCATGTTTCTGTTGATCATCAGGTCTTTGTTGCTGCGTTTACAAAGAGAAAGCAAATCTGTCCTTCCAATACAGAAATGCTTCATGGAAACCAAAACAATGTGCCAAACCACCTCTTCGTTCCAATGTCGCCTAACATCAGCCCTCTCCTCCATACTGAAAAGTTCAGGTGGGTTTGCTTTGCTTGCATGATTTCAAAGCAACGAATTAAACTAGAGTTGGATTCTTTTCTTTTTGTCTCAGAATCTGATATTAATTTTGTGCCCTCTGCATTAATCAAGGAGAAAAAGGTTTGAATTTGAAATGTCAATGTCAACTTCTTTACATGGGAATACACATGTATTAGCATTATCACACTTTTGATAGGAAAAGTTTGTTGTTCTTAATTTTATGGGTTCTATTCTATCTAGTGAGTACTGAACTGACTGTGGTTACTCAAACTGCAGATTCCTAGACAAGGCATGCATCAAAATTGAAGATGGAACTCAGAGGAACGAAAGTCCCTGGAGATTATGCACCGTGGCTCAAGTGGAGCAAGTCAAAATAATCATCTCTGTGGTGCCCATTTTTGCTTGTACCATCATCTTCAACACCATTTTAGCTCAACTCCAGACATTCTCAGTCCAGCAAGCAACTGCCATGAACACTAGGATCACAAGAGGCTTCAAAATTCCCCCAGCTTCACTTCAAGCCATCCCTTACATTATGCTTATATTTGTTGTCCCTCTCTATGAAATTGTCTTTGTACCTGCTGCACGAAAACTCACTGGAAGGGACTCTGGGATCTCACCTTTGCAAAGAGTTGGCACTGGCCTCTTTATTGCTACGTTTTCCATGGTCTCCGCTGCACTAATTGAGCAAAAGAGAAGAAACTTGGCCTTGTCTTCGAACGAACCGCTTTCTATCTTTTGGATTGCACCCCAGTTTCTCATCTTTGGCCTCTCAGAGATGTTCACCGCAGTGGGACTTATAGAGTTCTTCTACAAGCAGTCATTGGAAGGGATGCAATCCTTTCTAACTGCCATGACATACTGTTCATACTCATTTGGCTTCTATTTGAGCTCCATCCTTGTTTCTCTGGTGAACAAGCTCACCTCAACTTCTTCAAGGGGAGGCTGGCTTAGTGACAATGATCTCAACAGGGATAGGCTAGACCGTTTCTATTGGTTGCTTGCTGCCCTCAGCCTCATCAACTTCTTCAATTACCTTTTCTGGTCAAATTGGTATTCTTACAACCCGTCTTTATCACTCCCTTCATCACCAAAACAGTCCTACGGAAAAGACTTGGAAAGCAATAACTTCAACCCATCAAAGCATGTTGAAGCTCACAATATTAAAACTTGAAGCTGACGCCGTTCATCTCTCTTATAAATTTTTCTTGACCTAGCTAGACCCCTCTTTTGCTTATTAATGCTCTTAGATATGTACAAAAATTAAAAGACAAATCTCCTCAAGTAAATGGTACCTCTAGATAGATACCCTTAATTAGTGCATGCTAGGTTGTTAATTAATATATATATTATGACTGTGTAAGACGGACCAGTCTAGAGAGAGTCAGCCAAGTCTTGGAATTGATATTGCCAAGAATGTGTGAGGAAAATAGGTCTAAACCCATCAACCACAAGGTTCAATGAACCCTCCTGCTTCTCTCCACCTTTTTCTTCAATGCTTCTTTCTGTTGATCATGTGAAGGGGAGGGGTCTAAATGTTTCTTTTGGGAGGAAAAAGTAGGATGTAAGTGGTGGGGTTTGTTGCTTTATGCTTTGGTTAGTTAAAAGAAGAGTCTTTTTTCACAAAAGCAAAGCTAATCTAGCTATGGTGATGTAACTCATACATATTCATGGATGGATGTGTTAGATATGTATATATTATTATTGCTTGTAACTTGTAAGCATTTTCATAAGCTTAAAAATGGAAAACACTTTTGACTCTTTCTGGGGTCCTAGGGATAATGTGTTTGCTGTGCTCTTGTCTCTTTCTCTAGCACTTTCACCTTAAGAATGAAACATGTCTCATACATGTCTTGTGTTGGAAATTCATTATTATCTTCCTACCACTACTGGCTTTGAGAGTCGGAGTGTAGCATTTCAACATGATTTTAACTTTTTATGTTTCATTAAAGACTCTAAGGGTCCCCATGAGTAGCCATCTTTACCAGCAAACTTGTCCCCCATGCTTACTTACTGCTTACCCCTCTCCAAATGTTATGAGTAAATCATGGGTTAAGCAAGTAGATCATCATCGCTCTGATGATATTGATAGCTTAGCGGTGATTACCAACTGGTGATTCAGATTCAGCCTAAGGGTTTACCGACATGCAACTGGTGATTCGTATTTGACTCCAATAACTGTGACCAACTTACTTTTTTTTCTGTCCCGTTATACCCTAAATTAATATTCCACATAAGGGCTGAATGATACATACATACATACATATATTATTTTCCTAATAAAGTTTCGATTTCCAAAGCATTCAAATACATTTCATGTTCTCTTAACTAACACATTACTGACCAATGGAGAATCCAAGAACTTTTCTTTGTCAGGGTGGAAAAATATATCACCTGGCTACGTACCTCAAACTCTTTGGGGCATTTCTTCGAGCAGCTTGCCTTCGTCATAACAAGAAGCATATCAATGCATCAACCTTTCATTCACAGCGAAATAGAGTAAACCAAAAATTACTTTTGAGTGTCCACAGAATCACATTACCCACATGGGTTCTGAAATCATTTATGAGCCTGATCGTCCATGTTATTCAAATGGGCTTCAAAATAATCAGGCCGAGCCCATTTCAGTATAACCTTTTTTTTCTTTTCGTTATCAAGCTCATTTCAGTTGCAACTTTCCCGCTCGAAAAACCACCCTAGGCCTAGAGCTGAAGAAATTTTAGTATTGCTACGGCACAGCATCCTCCCTTAGGAAACTCTCTGTCTCTCTCGAAACCCCTTCTAATGGCACAGAGTTTTTCTTTGCCATCAATAATCATCTTTATTTTTGTACTAAAACTTTGGGATGTGATTATGTTAAGGGGTTAACAAATTAGTAATTTTTTTAAAATACAAGCGATAGTCAAGGGAGAGGGGATTTCTCACACACACAATACCAAGGTGTTATGAGGGTTCGAACATGAGACCACTGATCTATAAGTCAAATCAATGCCCTTTTTCCATTGGAATAGACTCTGTTGGCAACAAATTAGTATCTTTGTTACTATAATTACTGTAAAATTGTCATTCATTATGTTTATGATATAGTGATTTTAAGGATTGTACTCAAGTTCGAGTCACCCTCTTTGGTACGCGTGTAGATAATTTAGGGTAGTTTAGATTAGGGAGTTTCACTAAAACACCCAAAATGGGGGCTGAAATTATAAAAAAACCCAACACCCAAAACACTTTATAAACACACCCAAAACCCATCATTACACACACTCAAAACCCATTTATAAACACACCCAAAAAATATACAATTGTTGACTTTGGGGTTGATTTTGGGTGTGTTTATATGTTTAAATAGTGTGTGGGTTTTTTTATAAATACATGTCTAGGATTGGGTTTATTTATAATAATCTATTTAGATTATCACTTGTATAAAAAAAAAATATCTTCATTAATTGAGAGAAAAAAAAATACAAGTCAAACAATAAATGAAACATATGCGTGGTAGAAAAGTTTTGATAAATATAATCGTAATATTTATGTAATATATATAAATAAAAACTTTAAGTCTCACGTAATTTTTGATATGACCCGTTATATGATTCGAAATCCGCACATAAAAAACACGACACGAACCCGCACAATAAAAATTTGGGTCATTTTCGAGTCAACCTGTCATGACCCATTTGGGTTTCAGGTCAACCCACCAACCCACTAAAGCATATGTTTAACCCGTTTATTAAACGCGTTGTGTCAACCCATGTAATACCTACCAACCCGCTCAAAAATGAAAGGAAATGGAGACTTTAGCACACACACAAGAGATTGCCACTTTCATTCCTCTCCAACACCTTATCCATCATGTTGCAGACAACTTTGTGATTATATGCTACACCATTTGATATTTATAATGTTTCCACAAGTTGTTTTTCAAAGAAGTATAATTTTTTTTTTTTGGTCTAGACAAAGAAGTATAATTTCACATGTATATAATTTGATATTAATATTTATAACAATTATATGCATAACTATTTTAGTAAATGTTTCTTTACGCATCATAACCAATTCTCACATTATTGTGATCATAGAAAAATTCTTTGCTTTTTCCAATCAACAAAACAAAACAAAAAAAATACTCATGTCTAATTTTTTTTTCTTTGCTCTTAAGCTCTCATATCATCATCATCAATCTCACTCTCTCTATGGTTTCTCCTACTAAAATCAATTGATGGAGTTGGTTCAAAACTGAATCCCACTGGTTACTAGTTGCTACCATTTTTTATTAAACAAATTATTAACAAGGTAACCTGTTTAAGACGACCCGAACCCGACACAACACGTTTATTAAATGGGTCGGGTTCGAGTTCGGGTTGAGTATTCTTGACATGTTTATTATCCCAACACACATGAACCCGACACGATACGACCCATTACCAGCTCTATGCGTGATAAGAAAAAGCATCTTGCATAGCCAAAAATGAGTGCAGAGAGACTAGTCCTTAATGAAAAGAGTTGAAATCATACAACCTAGTAAATTTTCTATTTTTTCTCTTGGTTTTTGGAGAAGAAGAAATGACCTAAACATAATATGCTTGGGTTCCTGCCGAGAAGGATTTTGATCTCACGTTTATTGTGTGCTCCACCTACCAATCATGTCAATTAAAATTTCGTAGTGCCAGATGGTAAACCTGAATCAAAATTACAGTTGTGAGAGAGAGAGAGAGAGAGAGAGAGAGAGAGAATTGAGTATGATTCCCACGATAAAAGAAAGTGGCAAGAGTAGCAGCAAGCATAGAGCCTCTGAATTAGGCATCTAAACACCCCAAAATAAGGTCCATGTCCCAATCCAATCCAACACTTGAAATTAATCTTTCAAATAATATCGAGTGTCCTGCAATCTGCATGCTAATTAACATAACATGTGCTCTTAAACTTGTCTATCTACACCTCTATTTCTCTCTTTTCTCACACATACATATACACTAGTTGTACACACTCGCACAAACAAAATATCAAAACCTTATATATGTGTACTATATTATATATACCTTGCTCTAGGGAGAGAATTCCCAATACACACGTAAAAAATATATGGTGCTTTTGAGGACACCCAAACAAAATGGAGGAAGTTCTCTTCTGTTAATGCAGACAATTTGTTGAACCATGAAAAGCACATGATTAAACTGCCAACCCTAACCATCCAAAGTCATCCTTGTAATAAAGAGATGGATTACAGAGGCCGCTGGTCATGAGAGAAATATAATACCAGATTAAGAAAAATGCACTTAAGGTCAAGGACTTCTCTCATCCTTCCATGTTAAGCGCTTCCCCTCACGATCGCGCGCGATAGATACTTTCTTAAGGTAATTATGAACTTTTCTTGTTTTCTTTTGAATTTTATAGCAAGTCTTTTGCTTTTTCTAACGAAGGTACGTAATAACTCATGTGATCCATATAATTTTGCTCAGAGTCCTACATATACATGTAGCTAGATATTCTACAAGACGAACAGATGATATCATATGGGTTACCAATCACCTGTCTGAGCTGACTTCTGCACTCCCATGTATTTTGTTGAATATAGCTAGTGCAGATCATTATAAAGATAGATAGACTAGTTTAATTATAAGCTTAGCAAAATGATACATGGCATGTGATCTACTTAATTGACTCTCGTCCATCCAGTTTCAATTGGATCTTTTTATGCCTGAAAACTAGTGGCTAAGACATATTGTTGTACTGGTTTGACATTAATTTGCTTAATTGTGTGGAATGAGCGTGTCATTAATTTTACTTGTTCAAGTTAACGCCGAGAAAAGCAAAGAGGGTGCTAGTAGGGGAGTTTGCGTCAAAAAATTTAATAGGTTTCAAATCAACATCCCATTTTTTGTCACATGACCTGTATTTGAAGATGAAGAAACACCACCTTTCTTGGTAATAATATTAATGGCTGTGGGGGATTGAAAGCTTAGATAAATGAATACTTGCCACTTATATGTAGTGTAGATCAGAAGAAGATTGCAAAACATGTCCAGCTCCTAGCCTAGTTCTAGTCCTATAGGATTGCTACGTACATAATTTCAGACATTAATGTTAATTAAACAGCATTAGACTGACGATGTGATAACATTAAAAAATTAATCATCTCAGATCAATTGCATATATTTTTCTTCTTCAATCTCTCCATGATCAAGCCTTTTGTGTTGTTATCCAAAAATATGATCATGTTCTTGTATAGGGCCCTAATTAGAAACAGGTGGGTGATATCAGGAAAGAAGCTGATTGCGGGAATATTTCGTTATTTGATGCTGTGTGCAGGGCGGCTGTGGCGACTTGAAAACGACCGCGACTATTCAGGCAGGAAGAAAATCATCATGAGGGGAAAGCAGGTTTCAGGAAGAGCCATGTTGGTGCTATGTCTTGCAAGTTTTCTTGCAGGATCACTGTTTTGTGCTAGCCGCATGACATGGACCACTCAACCATCTTCTGATCCGAACAAAGAAGCTCATCAATTTCCCATCATTTCCAACAAGTTGAAGAAGCTAGAGGCTTCTGTCAAACAAGATTGTGATCACAAGCGGGTAAGTATTATTACTCTCATCAATTAGTCAACAATATACGTTACATATCTATATAGCTGTTATTCATTTTTCAATATCATGAGACAGTTCACGTGTAAGTTAACACATGCAATTTCGATATCCATCATATGATCAATTGGGAAGTTGATTGTGCATCTTGTTTTCATTCAATGTGACATCTTGCTTATTTATTTTGAGCACTGGCTAGCTACTAGTATCAATCAATTTTTAACATTAATTTTCTTCTTCTTTCCCCTTTTTGAATCAGAAATTGGTTGAAGGAAAATCAGAAGAAGACATGATGGGGGAGGTGACAAAAACCCATCAAGCTATCCAGTAAACTCTATACAACAATATTTTCTCTCTCTCTCTCTTCATACATTCGTTATAGTTTATTAATCTTATTAACTTTTCTGCTCTTGTTTATAAATGATATTGAAAAAACAGATCACTGGATAAAACAATTTCAAGGTTGGAAATGGAATTAGCAGCAGCAAGAGCAAACAAAAGATTAGAGGGACAAGTTAAGTTAGACGGAGCATCAAACAATGCCAGTCCTCCTAAACAAAAAGCTTTTGTTGTCATTGGAATCAACACAGCTTTTAGCAGCATGAAACGACGAAAAACAGTTCGAGAAACCTGGATGCCTAAAGGTGATTGTTATAAATTTCCAAAGAAAGAACATATCAATGTTAATGAAATGGAATTATAATTTATATATGCGGTGGGTGCAGGAGGTGAGCTAAAGAAGCTGGAGAAGGAGAAAGGGATTGTTATAAGGTTCGTGATAGGGCAGAGTGCCACGCCGGGGGGCATGCTTGATAGAGCAATTGAAGCAGAAGAGGCAGAGCACAAGGACTTCCTCAGGCTCAACCACGTGGAAGGCTACCATGAGCTCTCCACCAAGACCCGCTTGTATTTCTCCACTGCCATCTCCATTTGGGATGCTGACTTTTATGTTAAGGTCGACGATGATGTCCATGTTAATCTCGGTATGTTGTAAATAGTTTTGCTAGCTACAAGCCTACAACTAAATTCAGTCAAGAAATTCAAAAGAATATTAATTGGGTTTGAACTCTGATTTGGTGCAGGTATGCTAGTGAGTGCACTTGCAAGCCACCGGTCTAAACCCAGAATTTATATTGGTTTCATGAAGTCAGGCCCAGTTCTTTTTCACAAGTGAGAATATTTTTCACTTCTTCTTCTCTTCCTTCCAAAGAATTAAGAGTCTAGCTAAATGAGATTAATGAAGAAAACAAGAATGTAATATTACAAATTGTGGGTGCAGAGGGGTAAAATATCACGAGCCAGAGCATTGGAAATTTGGTGAAGAAGGAAACAAGTATTTCAGGCATGCCACTGGCCAAATCTATGCTATCTCAAAGGACCTGGCTGCCTACATCTCCATCAATTTGTGAGCACATTTTAATCACTCACTTTGTTTTATCTTTTTTCTTTCTTTGGTTGGGTTCCTATTAAGTTATTAACATTAAACATATGTATTTTCAGGCCCATACTGCATAGGTATGCCAATGAGGATGTATCATTGGGTGCCTGGCTCATTGGGCTTGAAGTTGAACATGTGGATGACCGGTCAATGTGTTGTGGGACCCCTACAGGTATTCTTTTGACATAAATATTTACTAATTTTGTGTGGATGAATAATGTCGAAATGAAAAACTACCCCTATATCCCTTGATTGGTGTCCATGATGGTGAATTACTCAAGTAAAAGGGATGATTAATGATGTTGTTAGTGATGCGACGATAGGTGAATTTGTGTTATGTGTATATACGTACAGAATGCGAAAGGAGGGCAGAAGCAGGTAATGTATGCGTGGCTTCATTCGATTGGAAGTGCAGCGGGATATGTGATTCTGTGGAAAGGATGAAAGACGTGCATAACTTGTGCGGGGAGGGAAATGGTGCTGTTTGGAACGTTGATCTTTGATTTCAATACCTATTAATATTATATATATGTATGGTCTACTCTAGAGACTAGAGATGAAAATAGAGAGACAGTGATAGTCGCCAACTTTATTAGTTTTTTTGAAAGATTTTGTGTACCTCTTTTGTCTTGTTTGTTTTACATTTTAGTGACACTAATGTTACAATGGAATAAATATGAGGGATATGCATTGCAATATTCTTACTGCTTGGCTTGGCTCCTAAGAGTATCTTCAACTGATATGTCAAATTGTCGCATAGATATGAAATGACAAAAATTGAAGGTTAAAGTTGTTCCAACCGAGTAGTCAAATTCTACATAAATTTGAAAGCTGGAAGAGATATGTCAAAAATAACATATCAAAAAGCTTGATGTCAAATATTATTTTAATATTTTCTTAGTCCAAACCCCACTATCATTTACTCTCTTTTAAAACTTTATGTATTATATAAGCCCCATTTGTTTTAAAAAATATAATAAAATAATATGATATTTGGCATTTCGGATGGAATTAAATTTTTTCCAAAATATCAAATTGCCACATAAGTCATCAAATTCAAATTTAACATTTTGCATTCGACATCCATCTTGGAGATGCTCTAATAGTAAATTAGTAATAGATAAAGTGTTTTTATTTAAGCAAATTTAAATATTGTGAATGAAACTTTGATTTGCCTGTAAACAGAAAATAAATCCTGAGTCGCTCAATAATTGGAAAGAAGAAAGAAGCTTGGATTCGACCAAAAAAAAGGAAAAAAAGAAAGACGCTTGGAGAAAGAAAAGCAAACAAGAGATAAAACCAAAATAATTACTCATCATTGCTATAGCCTATAGGGTGGTCAGGGTGGTGGTGGGCTCACATTAATACATGTGTAGGGCCGAAAAGGAACAAAAGGCTTTTGCAAAGAAGAGTTTATTGGTCCAAGAATACCGAAGACCGAAGACCGAAGACCGACTTTTGTTTTCCCATAGAAATTAAATACGAATTATAAATATGAATTAAAAAGAAAAGAAAAAGAAAAGTGGGAAAGTAGGAATAGAAAAGGAAACAGAAGGCGAAGAAAAATGAGGAACCGCCATACGAAACCTTGGGATTTTAGAATTTCTCCATCTCTCCTTCTCTCCTCCTCCTTATAAATAAGACTAGTAAATAAAAAAGTAAGAAATAGCAAAGCAAAAACGCAGCAGTTGAAGAAATATTTACAAGAAGAAGCGCTTCCCCTTCCCCCCTTGTTTATAATAAAAAGATTGTAAGACTGATTTATTATTAGCGACCGATTTCCCTCTCCTCTCCTCTCGTCTCTCTTCTTATTTATTTATTTATTTGTGAATGTGTGTGAAGAAGTTTTGAGAGAGAGAGTTTTGAATTTAAAACACAACAGCAGAAGCAGAAGCAGCAGCAAATCAGTAACAAAATTAAACAAAGCACCAAATACGAAACCAGATCTACTATGGTCATGACCGAGAGACCTTCCAAGCGGCTCAGGAGGAGGGTGACCGCTGATCTCCCGGACTTTTTCACCTTCCCTCAGCCCCACAGCGAACTCGTTCCCCCACAGCCTTTCCGTGAGAACGTCCGCAGCTTCCTCATTCGTCACGCGCACGTCACGTGCCCATCCTCCTCGTTGTTCCCGTCCTTGGTCACCTCACAGATCTCGCTCCGGGTCGGGCATCCGGGCGACCCGACCGCCGTTCTTCCCTTGGACGTCGTCGAGGAGGACGTCACCCGCTCCAGACGATCCGTCTACTGCGACCAGTGCCGAGTCGTTGGTGAGTCCACTCACCCACTCTCTCTCTCTCTCTCTCTCTCTCTCTCTCTCATAGACGTAGACATACGTACATTCAGATGGATGCTTTGCTTTACTCTCTCTCGCTTTTTTGTTTTTGTTCGTAGAATATGTATTTTTATTTTGAGCTTTGGATAATGTTTTACGTTTGCTTTCTTTGACAAAAATTTTACGTTTGCTTCCTTTGACAAAAATACAAACAATAGGTTGGAGTGGGCATCCGGTGTGCAAAAAACGCTACCATTTCATAATAAGAAGAGGCGCTGGGACTTGCGAGACTGAGATTCCCTTGCAGCAGCAGCAACAGCAACAACAATACAACAACAACAACAAAAGTAACAACTGGTGCAATTCTATGAGTGCGACAATGGAGGAGACGGATGATGTTGAAGAATGGGCGTATCTTCAACTTCATGATAATACTCATCTTCTCCATGCCGTCATTCACTCCAATGGCTTTGCCCACCTTCTAACCCTCAACGGCAGACAAGGAGGCTCCACCCTTCTCTCTGGCCGTCACATTTTGGACTTGTGGGATAGGCTCTGTCAAACCCTCTCTGTCAGGTCCATAATTCCTTCCTTCCTTGCCTTTACTTCAAGTCATTGTCAAAATTATAATCATTCTCATTTTTATAATTATTTTTTATTGAGACATAAATGGGAAGCGATACTGAATTGCATTACATGTTTTGAACTTGAACAATGAACAGGAAAGTTAGTGTGATGGATGTTTCGAAGAAGTATGGGATGGAGTATCGATTGTTGCACACAATCATCAACGGCCGTTCTTGGTATGGAGATTGGGGCTATGAATTTGGTGCTGGGAGCTATGCTCTCACTCAAGATTCTTACCACAAAGCAGTGGATACCCTGTCCAGCTTGCCTTTGCACCCATTTCTATTCCAACCAAGGAGACCCCGGACTCGCGTGCAGTCTGTTGTTGCTTTTTATCAATCTTTATCCGATACCCAACTCCCAACAATCAAGGATCTTTTTACATACATGTTGAGTCTAATCCATAGATCCCGCAAGCCCACATCATGTAAGAAACCCCAGCATCAAACTTCCAATGCTTTATGTGCGTGGACGGCCAATGACGTTGAACATGTGCAACAAGCTATGATCAAGCTACTGCTTGCAGCAGTTGGTGTTGGAGAGGATAGCTGGGTGTCAAAGCGTGCCCTCAGGGCCGCATTGTACAAGAGTTCCTCTCTGGAGCTTCTTGATTACAGCCTTAAACACCTGGGAGGGAAGTTGGCAGCCAATGGTATGGTAGTTAAGGCCCGGTGCAGTCCCGCGTCAACTGATGTAGAATACAGGTAAAGAGACCAGCATTGTTTGGTTCACTTGCTTTTGTCTACTTATACATGCTTTGAGTCCTGACACTCATTATGGTAACAGGCTTGTGCCATTGATTATTGGGAACGTTGATGGATCCGAGGATTTGAATTATCCATCGGAAGAGCAAATCCTATGTGACCTCAAATTTTTATATGATTCCATTATCCACCCTGACACCATGCTAAGCTATACACCTCAAGTGATGAGAGAACGTGTTATTGACGCAGCAACTAAGCTTCTCGATTGCAAGCAATTTGTGAAGGACTGCATGCCTGATAAAATGGCAGCGGAAAGCTCCTTTGGCATTCGCCTCTGGTGTCATGTGGAGCTTTCAGATGAACCCAAAGATGATTTTATCCTGCCTCCAGAACTGATTGTCTTGCCCTTGAATGCAACTGTTGCTGACCTTAAAAGGGAAGCTACCATAGCCTTCCAGGAAGTATATGCCATGTTTAAGAGGTTTGAAGTTGAGGAATTGCTTGAATATGGCTCTATAAATGATTCATTTACAGTGAAACTTCTGGTTGGAACATGTGGCTCGATTCGTTTAAAAGGGAGATGCCCTGCAAAACATGGGCTTAACCGTTTCCGGATGGAGAGAGGACTTGAAAGCTGGACCGTTGATTGCACATGTGGGGCCAAGGATGATGATGGGGAGAGGATGTTAGCTTGTGATACATGTGGTGTTTGGCAGCACACAAGGTGTGCCGGGATTCATAGCTCTGATGCTATCCCCGCCAGGTTTGTTTGCATGAGATGTGTAAGCTCATACCGCGAGAAAAGCCAAAACACCAATGATCCTGCCAAGGAAGCTAATATTAGTGCCCCTTTCTCCAACACAACTTGCAGAGCTAAGGCATCTGCAACTGATAGTCCCAGCGTTGCATCTAACATGAACATGGCATTTAGTGTACTTTGATTGCAATATTAACCTTATGTACAGTTGACATTTGGTAGGTTTTTGAAGGGGGCAGATTTTTTCACATTTTGGGAGTTCCTTGCGAACTTTGCCTCCCATCGCCTCATTTTGAGAGGAGTTTTTTTTTCTTTTTTGTTTGTATATAGCTCAATGAAAAAGAAAAAACAAATATTTATTGTGTTACTAAAATTTTCAGTCATGGTTTATAAAATGGCAACTGATCTCGAAAATTGCAATAGGTACAGAATTACCTCTTCATTGCCCTACTCCTTGATCAGAATTCTTACCTGTATCCTCGGGCTGCGTTAAGAAAACATTTCTAGCTTCTAAATTAGTGACATGGGGTTCTGTCCTAGAAAGAGAAAGGTGTTTAACGGCTGTGCACAGACCAGTATACTTGGTAACAACTTGTTTGTACACACTCAGCAACCTCTCCACATCTCCAATTGTCAAATCCCCAGCCTCTTTGTCCATATAAGGGTAATTTGACGCACCTGTAGTTTTCAATAGAATGTTTAGATGGAATATAACAACCAAAAGTATAACAAACGAATATTTCTAATGGTTGGTACATTTATCTGCACAGTTTTGGATGGAATATAACAACCAAATAATTTTATCCCCTTCTATCCGCATACCTAACTCCTATTATTTAAATTTCATATTAAAAAAAATTATTATTTAAAAACAAGAGAGAGGGAAAGAACAATTGAAGTTGCACATTATGTCTCTTTAAGGGGACAACTCGATGGCTAAAGTCATGCGGTTCTCTCACAACGGTTGGTATTGGTTGCATGTATTGTACTATGTAATTTAGAAAGGAAAGAAAAAATTATACAATATAAGCTTGTGATTTGATGATGTTCAATCACAATGCATTATCTAAGTAATCCTACACCAATTAAAGTTATCAGGCGGATTCAAACACCACAACTAAGGACTGAAGAAAGGGTAACCTTTAGGAAAATTAACAATATAGTTTGAAACTTACCACTTTTTTCTTTATCATGTGATCTTGCTGAAGGGCCAGGATCGGTCTGGCCTTGCAAGGTTGTCCTTTCTTCCAAAGTGGGCGTGGCTTCCTTTTCTGTCTCTTTATTGGTCATTCTTGCTGCTTGCATGCTCTCTTCAAATTCGATTTCATCAATAGAAAGAGATTTAGAATTTAACTCAAAAATAAATGTTTTGGCCGAGACAAGATTGGTGAGGTAATAGGCCGCCTCAGACACAAGTTTTGTCTGCCTCCGATATAACTGAATGAATTTGAGGTTGGAATGCAATTGTGGAGGATTGGCCTGATAGTACAAAGACAAAAGACTTAGTAAAGCACATAGGAAATCAAGCTACAGCTAAGGGGACATTTCTTCTAAGACTTGAAATGATTCATCAACATCAAACACCAAATTCTTAATTAGATAACTCAAAAGCCAAAACAACTGCGAACACCGAAGGCACACAAATATAAATGTAGCTATGAAGGATTCTAACAGACTAAGAATTATTAATTTGTTGATAAGCAATGACTTCTTATTTAACTTCTGGTATAAGAATGCCACAACACATAAGAATGCCACTAATTTTACTAAAGTAATCTACATGATCCTGGACAGTAAGAGAATATTATCCAATGATTTAATCAATTTGTAAGTGGTAAGAAAAACTTTCTGATGTTGCTAAGAAGACAATCAATATTAAGAAAAGATCATATTCTAATGCAAAAAGCAGGACCAAACAAATGAACTAAAGAAAAAGAAAGAAGTTTATATTTCAGGCATGTGAAGGCACAATTATCAAATATAGTATCACATCAAACTGTTAAAAGTTGAAAAGCATAGGAACCATAGCTAAAAACTGGACATGATTAATAGAATGGCTTATTACCAAGGAGAGCTTGCCTTGATCATAACATATATAAGGACAGGAAGAAAGTCATCAGCTCCTGCCAGTACATGATTTTCTGACATTGATGCATTCAACAATAAATTGTTGATGACCTTGCAACAATTCATAACACACAGAAGCTTCTCACGAGGGGCTTTGAAAGCATTAATTTTCAGCAATTCTTTTTCTGCAAGCTGAATAAAAAGAGAATTATGTCCTTGCTGCTTATCAGGAATAAATCAAATATCAGTGTAAAAATGAAAACAAGAAAGGATGACTTAAATTGATAACCAAAAAACAAGAGAGTGAAGCTAACTAAAGCAATTATAAAACACTTTTACGAATCTAGTTCTCTGAATGGCCATTCGTCTTCATTACACCAATCTATTCAACAAACATCTGAGAGGGAGGAGGCTATTATCCAAGATTCTACACAATTATTCAAACCAACGAAGTTCTTTTAAGATTATTTATTATCTCCAACTAAATGTAATCAGATAACTTATTTGTATGCATCCGTGGAACGAAATCATAACATATGTCACTTTTAAATAAATGTATGCTACGTCCTGTTTGTAGTCTATAGATTTTTATCTACTGCTATTGAAATCAATGTACGATGCACTTAAATTCCATTACTTACATAGCCTCTCATGTATGTGGTTTATATATCTATAACATGTGACACACAAAGTGATACAAAAGTACAAAGTGAGAAATCAGCACCCTCCCTCTACAAAGTAATAAGGGGAAGAAAAAAAGAGGAAAGAGCAGTACTATCCTTTTTGCTTATACATAACGAATGGTTGAAATCAAAAGCTGCTACAAGTTTAAACCTAAGCTGCAAACATATACATGTGTTTAACTTTAAATTTTGAATTCCATACTATTACACATTCATTCATATTTTAGATGTGTGCAGGCAGGGAAACAAGGCTGTTGTTTTGGTGTTTTTAGTTCATAAAGGGAATCAGACCTCCTCTGTTAAAATATGAAACAATTTCAGTTCTAAATACTACCATTTCTCAGCAAATGTTGTCTACTGAACACGGTCACTCAAATTGAAAACACAAGGTGAAATAATCAATCTTGAACTGGGAAGAAAGATTATTAAGTTTCACTTTATTCAAGGTTCCAGGTAGCCATAACCATTGAGATAGAAACTATAACTGTGAGCATAAATGACATGTCTCTTATGGTCAATTCACGTTTTCAAGAAAAAGCAAGCAAAACCAAGCATGTGGCTGGAAATCATCACCTTAAAATATAATGACTCTACTATAATGTATTGCATTACATCAATGATAACATAACCATGAAACTAACAGCATTAAATCTAAAATTAAAGGCAATGTACTAAGCATGGTATTAGTATAATTAAATGGAAATAAATATAAACTAACTACCAACACAGTGCCAAAAATAATTTGCACTCCCCAACAGAGTAAATGCAGCAAGCATACCAGCCATGAAGCTTCATTGCGTAGAACTGCTGGAATATCCAAATGCTCAGGCTTCAAGAAGGTCTGCAACAAGTGTATTTTCTGCGAGGTTTCAAGGTCAATCTTTACATCCTCGGGAGTAGAAGAAAAGGTCCGGGAGAACAATTTTGTCATGACATATTTCTCCAAACCCTGCAGTAGCAATTATAGGAAAACACAAATCTAACTGAATATCTCACATAAAAAGTACAAATTGGTGGTACATGCTACATTGTCCTCCCTTAATTTTAATCACATTTGGTTCTTACGCTGTGTTTTTTGTTTGGATAGTAGTTTAACTAGTATGAACTATAAAGGAGGGAAAGGGAATTCAATGATCAAAAAAGGAACTTTCTTTTTTCGGGTGAAGCTAATTGTCAGAATCTTAAGAAAACCAACAAAAACTAAACTAGATCCATCCACAGTGTTTGAAACAAGCATCGAGAAGTTGACAAATAAGAGCAGGCAGCGAGTACCTCCATTGCACAATCAACCTCCTGATCAGTGGCACCTGCCCACAATGGATGATCCCTAATAGCATCTTCCATTGTTGTGTAGAATTCTTGAACCTTTTTGCCGTCATTTTCAGGGTTGGCCGCGTAAAACGAAAATGAGACAATAAAGCTAACGAAGAAAAAAGAAAAGGGATACAGTCTATGAATGAAACCAAACAATACAAATATGTATGAGTATGAATTAGGGTTTGAGCTCTAAAATACCTTTTGATGGATCGGACGAGATCGAGGGAAGCAGGGTTTCGCATTCGATCGAGAAAATCATAGAAGATAGCCGAAGAGGATGAAGATCCCTCCATTCTCTTTGAACTCTTTGATTGATATGAAATTGAGACCAATTTAGAGGAGCACTGCCGCCAACAACACCATCACCGTCAATCTCTGTCTGGAGAATTTGACAGAAACAGAGTATGGAGGTGGAAGAGGGTTGAAGAAGCAGCATAGTATTAGTCGTTAATAAGACCGACAACTGTTTAAGGAGAGAGAAGGAGAAGAAGGAAGAATGGTAGGTTTGGCACGTGACCCCCACGTTTTTATTGCTGGTTGCTTGCTGTTGAGGGTTAAATACTTTGCCTTTTCATCACAAAACGTCATGAGGTTTGTGAAACTATCAGGTTGTGTTATTTATGTTTTTTTTTTTGTCAAGCGTGATTCATAAGGTAATACCTTGCTCATGAATAGTCTAGAATGACGGCTCATGTTCCATCCTAGAATATGTTAAATTGATAATGTGGCACGCATATGGGTCTCATATATCCAATGATATGATGCCACATGGATTAAAAATTAAGAACTTTAAAAAAAAATTAAAAACCAAAAAACAAAAAATAGATCACCACCTCCTTCATTGCACCAGAACCCCACATCCAGCCTCCTCCATATCCCAACCCGCTATACCAAATCAACACCCACAACAGCCAACCTAAACCTTGATATGCCATGAACTCCCCCTCACCCACTGCTCGTCCATTCTCCACCACCAAAGACCAAAATTAGATGTTGTAATTATTTATATAATACAAAAATAGGGTGAAATTACATGAATTCTTGCTGTTGCCTTCTTCGGAGTAGTTGGTGGAGTCGAGGCCTTCATTGGAGGAGATGGTGGTTAGTAACGGCCTAACCTGGAGTGGATTGGGTTTAAAGTGTTGCAATTCACCATTTATGTCTAATTCCGTTAAAATTAAGGGCATTTTTGTCAATTAATTGTAACTAAAAATAA